CAGCAGGGGATCAAATACTTTTTTCCCTCACTATATATACACACACCTCGGTTTTGTCCTATGAATCATGTCCAACTATTCTGTACAGCATTGTGAGATGTACATTCACACGCTCTGTAATGTAACTGTTTTGTGTACTTACATTTTAACAGAACAAGGTTTTATTCAATTGATAAGGCGCATTGAGATCAATTCTCAGTTATCCGGATTCTGGATTAATTATGGTTATGAAAACACGTTTACGCTGTTTTCATTCTTTAGTTTATTTGTATTTATTCCACAGATGATGCGCCCTTTTAGCCTGTTTGCCCGACTTTTTGAAAGGGAGATGCGTGCTGCGCAAGCAGAGCAGCAACGGAAACAAAAGACAACATCAGCATTACAGAGAACGAGTCCAGGGTTCTTATGGAATATTGCATGACGAGAACGCACGCTTGGCAAAAAAACTAGTGCAAATATAACATGAGAGCAAGAGGTACAAGATAGAAAGTAAGGCATACGTGTGAGTAAGCTGTATGTTTTAGTCTTAACAGTGACATGAACACGCACGAATTGAAAAAGACCGTGCAAACATTTGGGTATACGTGCGGGGTAAGCTCTCTATATTTTAGTCTAACAGTGACATGAACAACACGCGAATTGAAGAAGACAGTGCAACCGATTTGTGAGCAAGAGGTGCCGAATCGAGAAATAAAGAGAGAGGGGGAGTGAAGGTGGGGTGGGGGAACAAAGCTTGGAGATGAGCGACAAGATTGAGAGAAACGTGGAGCAGCAACGCGCAGACTTAAAATCGAACAGTTTTTAACAGATTGATTTTTGAGTAGGAATAGGGAGGCATTTTTTAAGTGGTGCATGTCGGTAAATGGCGAATTTGTTAAAGGAGGACCATTTTAGAGTGAAGACGGCCCAGTGGTGGTGACCCGTGATTCCATGCCCACTGGCGGACGACCCAAAACATGTCGTCTAAGTAAATCGATTGCTTTAAAAAGCAAACAAAACGGGCCACACATACTACATCTTCCGCCCATATTCCACGTCGGTAAACAATACCGTACATACTTTCTCAAGTTTTATTTACATAAGTGTTGCATTTGTCCATGTTTTTGTTTTATCCGGACGGGTCGTCCACCCCACATCATTACCCCAGATAATCAAGATTTCGACTGCAAACTAAAACTTTGGCGGTTCTTCAAAACATTTTTACCTTTTTTAATCTTTCGGTTGTAAGGTAGAGGTTATCCAGTGAGCGAGAGAAAGCATTGCTTGAAAGTCACACGCACGTTTCCGTGGAGTTGGGGGGGGATGGTGTGGATTGTTTGTGAATTGGGTGTGTGGTGGTGGTGGGGGGGGTTGGAAAAATCCGAGTTTGCTCAAGCGTTGGGGCAGCAGAGCGTGGGAAAAAACCCCTTGTGTGTTGTGTGCTGCAATGCAGCATGGAGGAAAAACAGTGCACAATTGTTCCTTAACTTTTTTTCTATTTACATACATACAGTAGGCCTCTCTGCTTGCAAGCACTTTTCTCTCTGGATGCAGGAAGCGCAGCCACACCGCTCCTCCCGAGCTTTCGGATGAAACTCAAACTATTAAACTAAAACTTGAACAATTTTTTTTTATTTTATACCAGGTAAGGTAAGGGCCCACTGAGCTATATAGCTTTTATCAGAAGTAACCTGGCCGTCACAAATGATAGCTGAACGAAGTGGCTTATCACGTGGAAATGTATAGCAACCAAATACTCTTAAATGCATGTTGATTCTTAATGTGGAGGGGAAAAACCGGAGGACCCGGATAAAAAAAAATCCACGCATCCACGGAGAGTATGCAAACTCCAACTATACAGGCGTCAGGGTCGGAATCGAACCTACGACTTCCTGTATGCTAGGCAAAGTAGTTAAAATCTCACCACCGTCGCGCCCCTTCCATAGAGGTCAACTAAAGGTGTTAATGATGCATCACTTTATCATTAATATTGATTCTAAAAGTCATGATTCATTCATGCGATCACGTGTGTGAGAATCGATGTTTTTTGCGTATGAATGTAATAGGTTCAATTTATCCCTGGAGACAGTCGACAGGCTATTATTTACCACGGTGTAACAAAAATATAACTTTCATTCTTGCATCAAACCGTGACCCTCAATTTTGAAGATTAATTAAATCACCATGGGGTGGGAAGTAACTAATTCTACATCTACAGGATACCACATTTATATTTTGCAATATAATTGTTGGAAATCGATTGAACATCAATTGTATGAAATACATTGCATTTTATATTTTTATTATTGAACGATTCCAATTTTGAATGCTTCTAGTAATTTCCATATTTGATATACAGTACTTTTGTAAATACTATGCTTGCAAATACCAAATGTGTAAATCGTGAGATTCGTGTTATACAACAGTGCTTTATAAGATTAAATACCGTTGAGGTCATGATGAGTTCACTGTCATTCACCAAGTCTGCACTCACGTTAACTCTAAGATCTTAAGCCCCACATCTTCCACATTCCTTTAATGGATTGAGGCATAGCTTTTCAACTCCAGCCATCTTGATCCACCAGTCTGGCCATTCAAGTCCAACTTATCGTTACACACTACTGTATGCACCTGATGATTGCTAAACATATTCTTAGTTTTTTCGGTAAAGTCACGTTGACTTTACCGAAAAAACTAAGAATATGAATTACTGCAGTCACGAAAGCTTTAAATCAAGATTGCTAAACAGTCGCTGTGTGTGTGTGCGTGAGATAGAGCATTGATTAAAATTCAAATAGATATCTTCATGGCATGTGGTAGATGCATGTATACGCACACATACAATGGCTTTATCTTAATTTAAATTACCACTCTTTGTCACGTGGGACTGTTTAGTAATTATCAAGTGAATGGAGTGCGTAACAACTTAATTTGTATATGAATGGGGAGAAGATTGGTAAACATCATAATGTCTATTGGGGTGGAGGTAGGACTGAAATTATGGAAAGCCTGGATAAATAGAAGCGTGGAATACACAATTATTCCTGCAGCTTCTTACATCATGTGTGATATTCAAATCCACAAGGTGACCAAATGAAATCATTTTGTTTCCTATATTGTGTCTGTGTGTATCTGTAGGAATTTTGTACAATGACATAAAAGCTACATTTGGAAAGATGGCAAATTATAGATTCTGTGTGGGCATGACTGACATGGATTTTTAAAACATTTGACATGTTTGTCACTGTTAGGTTTAATACATAGAGGCAATTGTGAAAGCCAGCAACTTTGACGAAAATATCCTCCCTGAAAATCCTAACAGAGTTCCTGCTGAACTTTACAGCCCTGTGTCACTTGTGGAAATTCACATTCCTATGATGGAGGCAAGTCTGTCCATAGGGCACTCACTATTGACTACCCCCTTAAAAAGTGGTACGTATTTTATCAACCCGGGCAAGGATGATTCCTAGCCGCTTGCTCTTCCACTGAACTACAGGATATGCATCTTGCCTATAAATTGTTTCCTATGTTAACATTGTGGCATGTATAGTCTGTAAAGTGTTGTTTTTACCTGCAGTATTTTATTTTAGACTTTAATGGAATGCACAACAGAGTGGCCGTACGGTATTTTGTTCAAAGCGATAGAGGAGAGTTTATTTTCGGCGAGGTCATGTATCATAATTATTATTACTATGCTTGATTACTCAGGGAAGCCTTACCGAGTCCCAAGACTCTTTTTCGGGAGGGGTCCTGCCCAGTTTTTCTCAGTGTGGGGGGGGGGGGTGTTGCCATCTGTGATCCAAATGGAGTCATTTGCAAATAACATTTTCCAGCATTGAGATGTTTATGACTTCAGCTGTGAAAGGAAATGGGAGAACCCGGAGAACGCCATGCAGAATAGAGAGAGAGAGCAAACAAATGCCACACAGAAAGGTATCGTGGTCAGGAATCGAACATAGGTACCTTTTTTGTGAGGCACAAGTGTCACCACTGCACCACCCTGCCGTGTATTAATGTAACAACTGGTGGAGATTTTTAGCCTCTTACCAAGCATCATTAAACCGTGCTTATGCATCATACCAGATGGATGTTTTCCATATTAAACAACCAGAACAGATATAATTGAGATGTCCTTTCTGGAGTGTTTACATTGGAAATATAACACGTGTATATTCATTGCGTTTTTTGCACATGTTGGTAAGTGTAAACCTCTAGCTGAAATGATTGAATTATTGTCCAATTATTTGGGTTGTAATTTATTGATACCAATTTTAATCATTGTAATTTTGCCTTGCATTTATAACAGTTATTAAAGACATTGCTGCTAAATGTATGATCAAATTGATAAAAACACAGTAGGAACATGAGAACAACATTCGGTGTATCCTCAACTGAAAAATAAAAGCATCGTTTCCATTCTTAATTCCTAATTGAAATTCCTAATTTGTATAATGTGTTGTACATGTCTTGTCCTTATGTTAGTCTCCCATGCTGCAAGGGTTATTTGACCATACTTCATCACCCTGGTCCATTTGGGTTGGTTATGGAGGGCAAAGTAGATGTGTTAGCATAGTACAGTACAACAATGTATGTTTAGGCACTTCCCTTTTGCTGCCTACCACATAGCCCTGGATGCAGAAGCATGTGTTTTAAAAGGCAGCTGAAATTATTTACCACAAATTCACCACTCAAGTTGGTCAGTAAATTCAGTGCTTAGCATAAATGTACTTTGGCAGGGCCTGTTTTAGTGAGGAAATATTAGGTTCCTTTTTCAGGGTCATCGACTCAAAACCTACTGAAATAACTCGGACCTTGGCACAGCACGCAAATTATAGTCTGTTTTTTCCCCCCATTAAACTAAAATAGGTATCATTTGTGCGCTTAAGGTACCATGGGTTTCATGGACATTTCAAATTATTTGTTTTTTAGTCTCTCAATTGATACCACTTAATTTCATTGTGGTGCCCACAAAGTTTCCCTCCACACTTACCATCGAACCCTTTGCTCCCTCTGCGTCACAGATAGCCGCTGTGGAAACCGTGTGGACGTCCGCGGACCGCATTCTGCCATCATGAGTAAATGCAAGTTGGAGACGCAGTTCTACAGCGTGGAGGTTGGAGATTCCACCTTCACCGTCCTCAAGCGCTACCAGAACCTCAAACCCATCGGCTCGGGTGCTCAGGGCATCGTCTGGTGAGTAGTCGTTTGCCATAAACGGCCTGCTCGCCCGCAGCACAGTTTATAACTGCGATATCAATCCACATTGTATTTGTATTGTACTGTTGTGTTGCACAGATAAGATCCGCTTACCCGAGGAGATATGGGAGGCCCTTCTGGCGAAACCTATCACCCATGCAAATTACTCCCTTTGTCCGTGCAAGGAAAGCCCCGGTTAACGGTGGATGTTCGGATGAACTTGGATGACTCCTGTTATAACTGTATTTTAATGCGGATAATACAATGAGTTGGGTAGCGGTAGCATGACCACAATGATCATCAGCATCATGTGGCTACCACAGATCAACATTACTGATCAGCATCAACAACATGGTATGAGGTCTTCATCGTTTCCACGGTTAAATGTGGATTCATGCGAATATTAGTATGAAGGGGGTGGGTGAATTTACCGCTCGACTCCCTCTCATCTGCATTTTACCACAATAGGAGTGTGTGGGGATCGACGCGGGAGTGCGGACGATAAGAATATTGATGAGGCACTTTTACTGCAGGTGTTGATTGTACAACAGTGTGAGCCGGACTCTTGCGCGCTAACTTAAAACAGATGGTCTCTGGAAATGTGACCCCTTAAACGTAATTGTTTCGGTAAAAGCACCGCATTGGATTTCCCACTCGTTATAACTAATGGTATTTGATTGGCGTTATAGTGGTGAAATAATTATTGTGGTAATGACTATGGTGGTATTTACTGGAACATTAATATCGCGGAGATGACATTGAGGGTTATAAGTTACTCTGATTAAACTTGCTCGATTATGATGAGTGCAGTAGTGGTTATGGTTGAAAATTACTACATTAATTTCACGTTTGGTAATTTAAATTTCCATAGCTGGGGGTCCTGGCTATGTAGTGATCAAGAAAATTCAATTCCAGGGAATTACACTAAATAATAAAATAATACCGCGGCCAGTTTAGTAACACACTTCAAGTGGAATTTTACACTTTGGATTTTTAAACTGCACAAGTTATGAACGGGGATAATTATTTAAAGTGGTTTATGCAAGCATCCACAATTCCTCATGGACAGTTCTATGATTTTTAAGGAATATTTCAGAAATTTTAATCATTATCGAGCAGCGATATTTTACTTGGCCATTGTAGATCAGCTATTTAGGACAAATTCAGGGATAAATGATCTTACCGCCTGGATAGAAATACTACGGTGTCAGATATTGTCAGATGAACTAGCCTTTCCATCTTTGCCAGGGTGGTGATGATACATAGGGCTTGATGTATGGGTCAAACCATGAATAATAATTACTTCTATTTTATAAAGCGCCTTTTCATATTGAAGTATCTCAAAGCGCTGTACATGAAAAAATTAAACTTCACTCACAAACCATTAACCTTTTCCTTACATAAGCCATTTTCGCTAAAACTGTACGTAATTAACCAATAGGTTAATTGTGAAATTTTAACTCTTGAGCTTGCCCAATTTGTCCAACCACCCTATTCGGAAAATATTTGTTTGAAAATTTGACGGCGATTGTGTTGTTTTTTTGACAGCAGCGATTGCAGTGGAATGGACGCGGGTGTTGTTTCAAAGTTGCTTTGTAAATGGAAGCGATGCCCGGTGTGCCACCCCCCCCCCCCCCCCAGTATACTTTTTCATCGGTCGTTACGTTCCTTTGTTTAGCTGCCTGCAGGGGAGGTCTCGGGGAAATGCCCTTTACTGCAAAAAAAAAAACCTTCCAGCCTGTGCAGAATATGACGGTGACATGGGCAGCTAGGCATTTCATGAAATGCTCAACTATTTTGACAAGTGACATAAGCGTATTGCTTACGTTTTATTTTTACTCTGCGTTAATTTTGACTTACTGTGCAGTATTTTTTTTATAATTAAAGATTTGGGCCCATTTAGTGTGGAAATGTTTTTGCCAAGAAAGCAGACGCTGTACACAAAGCACTTTTGCTCCTCATTTCAATTTAAAATGCGCTGTCGTTTATCTCTCTCTCTCAGCAGAGCGTGTAATATGAAATGCTGAATGTATTGATTATCTACTATTAACAAAGCAGCTGTGATATTTCCGTTTTATAGAGGCTGAGTTCATGACCGTTCAGCCCCGTTCTCATGTCTATTACATTGTACCGTGTTACAAGGGCAAACTACAAGGGCACTCTTGTTTTTACACAACATCTCAGTGCCACACAGTTCAGGGAATGCTAAATACAACTAGGCCTAAGAATTGGCAGTGCCTGTCCTTCAGTTAACGTTGGGGGGGGGGGGAGAGGAGACGATAAAACATGAGTAGGAAGAACCCTGGGAAAGCAAGCTACAGGGGGAATTAATGTACTAATTACAGCAACCGTTTCCTGTAAATTAACTTGTGAAAAATATTTTACAGCTCTTTGTCAAATCACTGCTGCGTGTCTCTCCCTGCACCATCGTAGGCATGGGGAGGGTTGTTTTAAAGCAGACTTCTCGATGGCGGTCAGTGTGGTGTTTGTGAAGGCTGGAGTGGGGCAGCCAGGACCGGTTCGAATATTAACTTTCGGCAGAAATGTATCTGTGGTCAGGAATTAAGCTAAAGTTGATGGGTTTATAGCGCAACGCCCAAACGCTGCGCTACCACTGCACTCTTTAAGACGTGGGTGATTTAAATTATTAAAATCCTGTTTGCTTTCAATTATGGGAGTAGAGATACCTGCGTGTACATCTTTGTCTGCACGTGCTGTGACTGGATTCCATTTAAATACAAAAATCTGCACTTGTACTGTATTCTGCATCCACGAATGTGTTAACCCTTTGGCCGGTGAATTAATTGTTATATGTCTGATATCCACTGCAGGGTGTCTATGCCAGCACATTTTATAATGAGCAAGTGGACCTTTCTAAGAGTGTGCATGCAAATGAGACTTCTCAAATAAATGTTCTCATCTGAGACTTCTCAGATCAGAATATTTATTTATGCGGGAGAAATCCAATGAGATATAAAGCTCTTTTTCACAATGGAAGGCTACAACTTACGCTTGCCAGTTTGCTCTCACTGTTGTGTTGACAACCAGTTAATGGATTACGATGGCAGCACTTTGGAGGGATCCTGCTTCTTCGTCATCACAGCTTGGCTGCATTGATTGGTCAGGCCAAGGCAGCGAATTGCACATTACATCTTTGTTTTTTCACTCTTCCATGGTTGAAAAAAAAACTACAAATCACAGGACAGTGCTTAGAGGGCAAATTGCATTTTTAAAGCTCAGGATCTAATCGGGATTTAGCCTTGCCCGTAGACCCTGTGTTACAAGTACAATAGTGTTTTTACGTAGAAAAAAAGCGTTGTTGGCTGCTGCATTCACTGTATTGTTGGTGACAGCTTCTAGATGATAGGCTTTTGGCAACGGAGGTCATTTTCCACAGCTTGCTTGGACGTTAGTAAAAATCTGTCATTGTCACATAGGTCAAGGTTAGAAGGTGTAGTCTCGTGGTGGAATGGCCTTCGATGACAAATAATGTCAATTGTTCTGTGACCGAAAGTTGTCTTGATTAATAATTAATTTAGAAAGTTGAGTTACTTTTAAAAACGTAATTTGCACAAATTACAATACGTGACTTTTGAAAAAAGATTTTTTTTCTTTTTACAATTCGCTGCGGTACTCTCAAATACCTGCCGCCGTTTCAATAAACAAATAACATCTTGTGCTTTTGAGTGCCGCTCGAGCAGGCTTGTGTTGTGCATCCACGTACTCCATCACGTTTGTTTTCTAACATTGCTCCGCTGCCTCCTCCCCCGTGCCCCCAATCTCCCGCGCTTACCCCAGTGCGGCGTATGACATCATGCAGAATCGGAACGTCGCCATAAAGAAGCTGAGCCGCCCTTTCCAAAACCAGACGCATGCCAAGCGCGCCTACCGGGAGCTGGTGCTCATGAAATGTGTCAATCACAAAAACGTGCGTATGACACCACACGCTCGGCCGCTGTTGCTCGCGGAGAGTTCCAGCGAAAGGGTGGGCAGGTGGGGATAAAATTCCGCCCTGCAGGGTTCTGCCAGCTATGCGGGGAGGGTGGGAGAGCGCCCACTGGGCCTGACACGACACCGCAGGATTCTGAGGAGGGGGCGGGGGAGGTGGAGTGGGGGGCCTGGCCAAGCAGGGAGGGGGTAACAGCTGTGCTCTTTGGCTGCCTACTCGCATTTTAACCATCGTCATTAGGGCTGTAGTAGTCGTCGTTAAAAAAAATAGACATGTTGATTTCATTAGCGGGACTAATTCTCATTACGTTTACTGTAGAGACCAAAAACATAAACACTCAATTACGATCCGCCAAATACAATTGCATTTTCTTTTACTTTATTAAAATATGTGCAATTATGTTTTTTCTGATTAATAATACGAGGTACTGGCAATATCCAACCAAACTCAGTTTTGTAATTGTAGACAGATTACGTGAGATTATCCATCGTTTATACTCCCGGTGTAAAGAAATACGTTACATGTTGCAGTGTGTTGCAGATGTTTGACTTCACCTTGATGCTAGCAATATAAACCCCATTTTAAAACAGCAGATGCATCAAGATAAACGTAATTCCATTGTTGCTTTGACTTCAAAACATGAAGCCATATGTATATAAGCCATTAACTTTTAGAATCCTGCTTATCCAAGTGTTTCTTGGTTTACACACCACTGTCTGTGTGATAGGGTAACTGCTGTTGTGGCATTATTTGAGCTTGTGATAGCATAGGGAAACTAGGTCCCTAATCGGTATGTTGTCTTGTTGAATTGCGAGCACGACTGCACACTTCTAAATTGCCTTCTGTGCATTATCTCTTGCAGATCATCTGCCTTTTTAATGTATTCACGCCACAAAAATCACTGGAGGAGTTTCAAGACGTGTAAGTTCTTCAAATGAATACCTTGTTAAAAAAAAACATCCCATCACATTTATCACAGGAGCACAGATTATTGTATAAAGTACATCTGGCTTGTGTTTTATATAATCCAGTACAATTGTGCAAGTACATTGTATATATTTTTGTATATACACGACTTGTATTGAAAACCTGATAAGAACCAGTGATTAATCATACTGCACGTGAGCATGATTGAAGCAAGCACAAGCACTCAGTTACACTCAGCATGCGAGCACCGCACAGACCCAACGGTGCACTTTGATCTATTTTAAAATAACAAATCATGTTTAGCTCAATAAACCACCTCAAAGACAACGTGAACTTATTGCATTATCAGAAAATTAACCACCACCTTTGGCGACTATGAACCAGTCGGTGTTTTCCAGAGTATTCGCATATAAGCAAGGTTCTTTGTAAACCTCACGCAAGCTTTGCCAAATTAGTGGTGTACACGGGAACACACGCGCCTTGTGCCTGCAGTCTGGAACACCTGTGCTGGCTTATGGGGCGTGGATTCTGGATTGCCGTCTGGTGTGTGCACACGCGTGTGCGGGGCGTGTGTTGCAGAGGAGCGACGCTCACAATAACGAGTGGAGCGCCGAGCGGCTAAAACACAAAGTTGGCATAGTAGGGGGCACAAATGGTGTATTGGCCACTCATCTCAGTCAGTCAACCCATGGCACTTTGGTCTGTCCCGTGACCTCCTGCCAGCGGGCGTGCAACACTTCACGTGGCCTTAAAGTGCACCTAGCATGGCACAAGTGCGGTGGTGACGTCACCGACACTTAGTGGCAAATGGCAGTTGTTTTGTTGTTGTGGCATGTGTTGTGACTCCGGACTTGTCTGCAGGTACCTCGTGATGGAACTGATGGACGCGAACCTCTGCCAGGTGATTCAGATGGAGCTGGATCACGAGAGGATGTCCTATCTCATCTACCAAATGTTGTGTGGAATCAAGCATCTACATTCAGCTGGCATCATCCACCGTGTAAGCGGAGAGTTTGAGGAGTATATCCATTGAGCTTAGTTGGCACGTAGTGGGCAGAGATTTGGAATTATTCCAGTAATTCCCTCGGGTATGGAAAGAAAATGATGCATCACGATGTTGACGATTCTAGATTTGAAGCTTTCGTGACTGCAGGTATTCATTGGTTTTATTCGCTAAAGTCACGTAGATAAAATAAAATAAAATAATTAAATCACGACGTTTCGGAGGCAACACAAGCCTCCGTCTTCAGGTGGAAAAGTCAACGCAGAATATCTGTGTTAGGAGCACAGTTCAGAGACGACCTTGGATTATATACAGGTTAAGGGAGGGGGGAGGAGTCAGTAAGGGGTCGTGGGTGGGTGGGAGGGCTGGGCTAAGCAGCCTTTTGATAGAATGCTGCGGGTAACACCCACTTCTCAAAGCTCAAAGGGGGACCCTTTGATGTGAGCTTGTTCATGAGAGCCTCACCTTTATGAGTTTTAAAGAATGAAAATAAATTCCAGCCATTCTCACTCCACTAATGGTGTGATGGCCTCCTCACGCCACATCTATCATGGGGGATTTCTATGGCTGTAACTTCATGCTGGTCCAGCACACTGCTTTGGTCAAATGGAGGCCCAGGACTAGCTGAGATCTCACTCGCCGGTGGTGTCCATTCCTGGGAATCAGATTTGTGTAACCAGGCTCGAAGCACACCACTGTGGCATCGCTGCAGCCATTACAAGCATGCGGGGATGATATTGCTGAACGGGACGTTTAAAACGGATTTTTTGCCATTTTACACTGAATGTGGCCGATTAGCCTCACCCCATGGGTTTTTCACTCGTTGGATTACCAGCGAAATCCACTCGCGTCAAAGGTTTTTTTTTTGTTTACGTTTCTTCTCAGGACTTAAAGCCAAGTAACATTGTGGTAAAGTCCGACTGCACTCTGAAGATCCTGGACTTTGGGCTTGCCCGCACGGCTGGCAACAGCTTCATGATGACCCCCTACGTGGTGACACGTTACTACAGAGCCCCCGAAGTCATTCTGGGCATGGGCTACACAGAGAACGGTAACAACGCGACCTGAGGCTCGCGCGTGCATGCACTCGCTCGGCATGTTACAGGTGTGGCTCTGTGTGACACGTTTTATATATAAATACGCATGCATCGCACCCAAGTAACATTGGGCGTGCATTTGCAGAGGCACATTGGTTGCCATAGTCATGGTCGTCAGACACACTTTGTGCCATTTTGCACTGCGCATGTGTCAAGGCGTTTCACTGGAGTAGGCTTTCTCAAACTCCAGTGCTTGTGACCCACCACTATGCACCTTTTCATGTTTACCAATCTCCTCCATTCCTTTACAAACTAAGGCACGTTATTTCCTCCATTTGTAGCTTCGATCCTGACCTTGACGCCTGCTGTATATTTGGAGTTTGAATGTCTCTTCCCATGGTCGCGTGGATTTTTCTCCAGGTCCTCCGGTTTTTTCCTCCACATTTCGAAAAATGCGTTTAGAGAATTTGGCTGCTATAAATTTCCACGTGATAAGCCACTTTGTTGAGCTATCATTGTGGCCAGGTCACTTCCGTAAAAGAGCTATATAGCTCAGTGGGCCTTACCTGGTAAAATAAAATTTGTTTGACAAAAAGAGTGTTAATTCATTTTCAAAGTGTTCTTGTGTGTGTGTGAATGTGTGTACGTGTATGTCCCACATGCCATATAAAGTCGTTCCATGCTGCATGCACCTTATTATTGCCAAACAATAGCCCCCACGTGAAGTAGAGAACACTTATTAATCTGAGCGCTCTACATCACCTAGGACACGCGCACACACGCACAAGAATTATATCTACATTTGAATGAGCTGTCCGCATGTCAACTTTGGCAAACACCTACGCACACACTCAGGTGCTCTCTAAGTTACATGGAATGCGTTTTTCAATAATCAAGTGTTGCGCAGCTTGTAATCACTTGCGCTGTATTGAAACCGAGGTATGTTGGTTAAATTTGAAAAGATGATGTGCCGTGGTGGATCGTGAGGGCTAGAGTTTTATAAACCCTGCACTCAACTTGGTACGAGGTGAGCATCTGGCAGGGTCAATACATGCAAACTTGATCATCTTTCATAAGTCATGTTTCCTTGTTTTGACAGTTACGAAAATAAACACTCTTAAGCAATTTTCTAAAATTCGGAAACTTAGCCCACGATGCCGACAGATGACTCATTTCGGTAACACCCCACAGAGCCGATTGTGTATTTACCAAACGTATCCCAAAGAGCCACCGCAACCCAGCAACTACGCAGGCAAACCAGAAGCAAACTGCCATGCACATTCACACGTGGGTGCACTTGAGGTTTAAACGTCTCCCACCCATCACACATTGCAACCTGGCTGTGTTGTCTAATAATACTGCTGCTCTTGCTTCAACACCATATGCGTGTTGCTTATTTATAACGAGCCTATTATATGCTCTCTGGTTTGCTGTCTGCCCTGCACAATCATGCTGGGTAGTGGATATCTGGTCTGTGGGCTGTGTGCTTGGGGAAATGATTCGTCATCGCATCCTCTTCCCAGGCAAAGACTGTATCCTTGCTAGAAGCCTAGGTGGTTGGGGAATTGACACATTGGCTTTTAGAGCACACGTAAAAAAACAGCCTAGGGACCACGAGTAAAATGCTGAGCTCATTTTTAAAGTTGACTCGATCGCATCCCTGTTTTTATCCCCACCATCATCGGACGTGTGTACACATTGTCACTGAGCTGTAACGGCAATGATAAATAATATACATGGTGCAGATAAACATGAGTGTCATCAGAGTCTGCACATTAATCTTGTCACAGGGTTGTGCCATTTGTTTTTTTAATTATGTCATCCTATATCATTTGTACCCATTTGTTTGTGGCTGTTTTACGTTTGCGTTTTTTAATTTACCCGTACAGTTACACCAACCGCATGCTGGTAAACTGTTCCCACCAATTCCTCTCCCATGTCCTGTTGCAGTTGATATCTGGTCAGTAGGGTGCATCATGGGAGAAATGATCAGAGGTGCCGTCCTATTCCCTGGCACTGACCGTATCCTTGCACACGCTGCACCCAGTATGCCGACGAGAAAATTGGTCCTCGCTAACAACATCAAGGGGCTCTGCTTCTCTTGAGAGTTATTTTTGATCTTCACCCGACATTCAAAACAAAAACAGCCGTTGTGAATCGCTCGTTTTAATGTGAGCCATGCACATTCAAATGTGTTATCATTTAATCTTTGCTCTTCACAGGGAAACAAACACTTACACTGATTGTAACAAGGTGGCAGGGTAAAAGGCAGCAGTTCCAGCTCGTATTTGTTCAATTTAACAAATGGTGAGCAATATATATTCTTGGTTCTTTCAGTAAAGTCACGTTGAAGGGAAACAATAAAATAATAAAATATATATAAAACAATACAATTCTCACGACGTTTATTTTATTGTTTCCCTTCAACGTGACTTTACCGAAAGAACCAAGAATATATATGAATCACTACAGTCACGAAAGCTTTAAATCAAGGTGAGCAATATGTTTGGCGTATTGTTATTTACGCTACGGAATAAAATTTGCTCCTATTGGTGACTTACAGTAAAGTAATTTTGTTTGAAGTGCAGCATTTCAATGTTTCATTTTTTAATAGTTACAGAAATAAACACTTACATTAATTTGCTCATTTGTCAATCAAACATTTAAGTGCTCAACATTATTGGCACAATCATAGCTGTAAACGTCTCTGTTCTACTACAGTTTAGACAATGTTGAATTTTTGTTTTCACTTATTTCATGGCTTATTTCTTTTTACTGCTTTAAAAAAGAAAATCATTTTTATTTTACATTTTTATTTGCACGCGTTTGTGTTTCATGCACGTGTACGTATTTGCATATTAGTTTCGTAACCAAGCACACTGCTTGTTTTAATCCATTATTTAGAATAACGAAGAGCATTGCTGGTGCCAGAGTTTGAAGAACACAGATAAAAAAAAACTACAATTTGTTATACGCTGCATACCGCCGTTGCTCAATTGTAAGCGTAGGGCCCTTTTTTTAACGGGGCTGTGCTGCACTGCAGCCTGAGTTTTTTTCTCTTCAGCTTGACTCAGCAATTCTAACCACACTTGCAGGCCAATGACAGTGGATTTCTATTACTCGCAACCTCTGCGGTGGCATGACCGGAGATTAATATTGTGATTGGGGCACTTGTTGAGGCCAGGCCTAACATTTTAGGAATGGACATTATTACATTTCCAGGGATGACATCTGCCCCCATATCTGACATGCCTCCGCACCGCTACCTTTCCCTCCCTAACCATGACCTCCCACTTCCTTTGCTCTTGTTGATATCGTTTTATTTGTTACATTATACGTTATCACGATTTTGCTTACATTTGCTTTGGCTGTTCATTAATTTGTTTTTTAAGTGCGTTTGTGTTTTTTGTTACTTTCTGTTTATATACGTTATATATTTGGTATATTTTTCGCCTGGGCCAATTGAGATTTAATTTGGCACAGTTTCGGCTAAATAGAGTGCGTGCACTGTCAGCGATTAATGCACTACGATGCCAAAGCTCTGTGCTTGGTTAAAGTTGAACGTACGCTGAACAATAACGTGATCAATAGCCAAAGCAGTGTCGGCAGTGCGGCGCGTTTTTCTTAAAAGCTCCCCGCCGACCGACAAGAATACGTGCACACAGTGATTAACGCAGTACGATGCTAAAGCTCCTCCGCGGGGTCAAAGTTTAACGTAGGGCTACACGGTAATGGCACGGTAGAGCTGCACCGGCGAGATAACAATACGGTTCCATCAAGCACACGCTGCGTTTTCCTAAGCTCGCCGCCACCCAGACATCGACCAGTGGAACAAAATCATCGAGCAGCTGGGCACGCCCATGGCGGAGTTCATGAAGAAGCTGCAGCCCACCGTGCGCAACTACGTGGAAAACCGGCCCAAGTACGCCGGCTACAGCTTCGAGAAGCTCTTCCCCGACGTGCTCTTCCCGGCCGACTCCGAGAACAATCGTCTCAAAGGTGACCCGCGGCGCAACGCTCTTGCTCTCCGATGCGTTTTCGGGGGTTGTGCCAGCACGTGTTTGTTTGGCGCCGTGTCCCCGACATGTGTCGCTTTGCATACCCGGGAGCTTCTCCAGGAACGATGCGATTGTTTCCAGAAAGGGTTTTCTTCGGTTCCTGAAAAAGTTCCAGCACGTGGAGTGGGGAACGTCTGGCGTCGCACGGGACAACCCGTAATCTCGCCGGAGAGCCATGCAGCACAACTTACGCAGCAGTCGCGCAGCAGCAACGTTAACGCCCATTGTGACACTGAGTCTTATGGAGAATAAAACCAAAAATTGTTCTATACGGAGGAGGCAATAAAATAATTATTGCAATGGAATAATAATAATAATAACGTTTACCATTGTTCATCCACAAAAACCTAACTTGAGTCTGAAGGCTCTTTTTCAGGATGGTCCTGCATTGGGATGTTTGTCCGATTATTGCTGACGTGTGATCGGAAATGTGGTTTCGCAAACCTAGAGCAGCATGAAAGGGAACAGAACTCAAAAGCTGCACACAAATGCCATGGATCCATTATCTGTGCTGCCACCTGCTGATCTCCTTGCAGGCTCAGTGGGTTTGGGGAGTCTCGCAGCACACGTTGAAACCTGTTGTGCGATTCACCAAATCATCGAAAGCGATGAGTTACCGATACGTGCCACCGTGCCTTTGATATTCACACAAGCACCTCGCCACCGATGCCTACAACCAAACCAACCTGAATGTGCCTGATCTCATCAGATCATGCAAGCTTAAGGAGCGCTAATCCTGTTTTGTGCTTGGATGGATGACTGCCAGTGATTGCCAATTTTTTGTAGGAATAAGGTTGTATACTGTGAAGTGGCCATGGGATAACAGTACAGAAATGGGCTGTCCACATTTTACACTTCATTTATTGGGTCTGTCGTGATTGAGTCTTATCTGTGTGGATGGTTAAGTGTTATCCCCGTGTATATTTCAAGGCGTTTTCTCCGGGTGCTCCGGTTTCCCCTGCATAACAAACATCCCTGAATGGAATTTGTGTAATATCCCGATTCGGGGACCCCTCCTTCAAAGCGACCTTAGGCTCAGTCAGGGTTCTTTGTCGGAGCGCAATGTTGCTTTATGAAATCAGTAATGTGCGGGTAATTTGTTTTAGAATTTTTCAACCACACCAGTTACATTTGTACATATGTGTGTTTGCTATGAGAGGAAACCGAGTGCTTGGAAGATATCTGAACCGGTCCTTCCCCCCACCCAACTCTCTTTACCAACCCGCAATGACCAGCATGGTGAAGTATGGTCAGACAACCTCCATGGCTGACACAGCATGAGGAGGCCTTCATCCAGCAGTGGATTGACAAGTGGCCGTATATTCAGTAAATGCAGTGTCATGTGTGCGATTGCTGACCCATTTACTCTAAAAGGGAAATAAATGGTTTTACTACCTCCATTACCCCAACTCATCAAGATATGGTTTTCATTTGCCTTTTTGCAGAGTTTTTGGGAAATTGTTGCCCTTAAAAAAATCCATTACACTGTCACTAACACAGTGCTGTGTTGCAGCAAGCCAAGCCAGGGATCTACTGTCCAAGATGCTTGTGATCGACCCAGCCAAGCGGATAAATGTCGATCAGGCACTAGCACACCCCTACATCAACATCTGGTATGACCCCAGCGAGGTAGAAGCGGTGAGTCGATGTTTCCTTCAGCCTCCATTCAATCGGAGGTCACTCATTCTCATCTGCTGCCCCCCCACCATTGTCAGGAAATCCACTCCCCTTGGCATTACGCACTGCTACAACCCTCTTCGCTAAGTGCTAATTCTTCTCCACCCACATATTTTCTCTCTCGACCCTGAACCGGCCAGGTGGCTCGGCGGCAGAGCGAGCGGCTGGCAATCGACAGGATCTGCGAGTTCAAATCCTGTTTGGGGTTTTACTCAACACCCCCCCCGTCTTTCCTTCTGCGATCAAAACTTGAGTAGCACTTTTGCGCGGAAAGTCAACAACGGTCATATACCATTGATCGATATTCCGCCGCCGTGGAGATGTGAAGCTTCCACCGCTGGCTCAGGGCTGTAAACGGGAGATGAACACCGCCCCGATGCTCAAGGCTCATGTGAGCAGGAGATCACTTTGACTTGACCCTGAAACCCCCGAGTCCATCTTCATTGTCTCACAAATTCTATTCTCCAGCCGGCCTAAATTACACGTTGCATTTTCATTTTGTTTCTGTGCATTTATTTATGATAATAGGTTTTTCCACTTTTTTATGGCAACAAAACAGGTATTAAGATGTTAAAACACCAAACTGAAACATTTTACAAGGAATCATGTCTGCATTAACCACAATGCTTGTGGTCAGAATGTAAACAAAAAAATACTCTGATAGTATATGTATTGTCTTTGAAACTGATAGGTCCACACCAGAGACGCCTTTCTTTTGAGCCTCGTCTCAAACGGTGTTAGACCTATTATCATAGTTTTGTACTGGCAAAGGAGGTCCCATGATGCATTTATGTATTTAACAACCTCGGTAATCATGAATTTGTGAACATTGTATTTCACACTGCGCGACAGTAAATTGTTCAGGCTGTGGGCCACGTGTAATGGGGTTTACGCTGCCCTTGAGGCCGTTCGTGGGCTGAGGAAATGTGATTCGTTTTGTTTGCTCAAATGTCAGCCAGTCATTCTCTTGAAGTAAAGTTAACCGTTGCTTGTGTTTTGCCTCCGTCACTTTCTCATTCAGCCTCCACCAAAGATTTATGACAAGCAGCTGGATGAGAGAGAGCATAGCATAGATGAATGGAAAGGTGAGATGCACTCCATGAAATGATAACGTTTGTCCTGCCTGCATGTAATTGGTATAAACCATTCTCACGTTGATTTTGCAGTCATCCTGATAAAATGTTGTATTATTTTCTTTCAACAATACCATATTACGATAAGGGTACATTCTTGATGTTCCAAATTGCAACAGCAATTTCAAGTAATCACCGTGATTATATCATAAGTTTCCAGGCCTTTGTGAAACCACTGCAAGATGAAGGCAGTCTCCCCATGCCATGTTGTGCCTATGGTTTTTAGTTCACCACGTTGCTTAGTACTGACTGGAGAAGAGGAGTATCCGAGATCAGTTCAGATACCGTTCGCCACTGATGTTAGCCGTGGCCGATAATTTTACTCATGTTGCCGGGTTCACGGCACACTTGAGCAAACCGCTGTGCCGCCACTCTCTCCTGATCTGCAATATGGGGGTGTAAAACTCTGATGTTGACGGACGAATCAAAAAAGGGTCAGTAGATCACTCCGCCTTCCCGTTCTTTTCCTCGAAATAGTAAATGCCTCATTTGTAATGCCACCCATTCCTTCATTTCAGAGCTAATCTACAAAGAAGTGCTGGACTGGGAGGAGAGGAATCGGAATGGAGTGGTGAAGGGACAGCCCTCCCCCTCGGGTCAGTCACAAGAAGCTGTCACAAGAAGAATTCTTTAAGCAAGCGTAACGTCGAGCATCTTTCGTTTTTGTTTTTTAAGCCGGCACCATTTCATACGTCCTGTAGCCGTTTTCACATTGGATTTTGGACCAAACAAAGTGAAAGCACATGATTGTAAACATTTAAGGTGACATAGTTCAAAATACCCACTGGCTTCAGCTTATATGATATCAATATCATAGTCTCGTTTTTTTTATTTTTCCTTACACAAAGTAAGACGCTGCGTGTACCTTTTTTTTGTACCAATGCATTCGTGTAAAGAAGTTAGCGTCATGTTTATTTTATGGTGCCGATTCCACAAAACTGTTGGTGCGACAGTTGCAATCGCGTAAATTGGCTGGCGTGCGGACACGCAGAACTGCAAGTGGCACAATCTGTCACTTTTTTAATAGGAGAAACAAAACAACCCTACGTCTTTTAAGGTTCAAGGCCACATCTGAAAGCCAATAACAAGGACATATCGTGCGTTTACAGCAGCCTGAAGCATCGGCAATTTGATCTGGAGTCAACGTGAGACGAGATGCCACGGCCCGATTTTAAACCGATACACGTGGGGTGCGTCGCTTTTATTTGCTCAAGTCATTTGTAACGTCGTTGTCCTTAGGGTTGTGTTTGTCATCAGCCTATGAGTTATTGCGGCCATTTATGGCAGTGTTGCCACACTCGTGAATATAAATGCTGACCTTGTTTCTTTCTGCAGGGGGGGGGGGATGCTGGCTACATTGTAGTTAACAATTAATACATTTGGGGGGGGGGGGGGGAATATACTTTTTTTATTTTCGGCTACCAATCAAGAGCTTCGGTGGTCAGTAAAATATCTGAGTACACGTCTCAACCGAAACAGTGCTTCATTGGTTTCACCGCCTTAGATTCCTGATCAGGTCATCGTTACCCTGTGTAATTAGTTAGAATCCACGCAAGAGCATGTTTAGCCTCAGTTATCTGCCAAAAAAAACAAGTGTCAATAAAAAAAACGTTCTCCAGTTTAGTTTTATATTTGAAGTTTGTTAGATGTGTTTTTTTTTTAATTTGATCCTGGAGGCGCAAGGTCTTACATCACTCGTGTGGAAGGATTATTTTTTATTTATTTATAACCTGTATATTATTTTGACGCGCCAAGAAAACTGTATTGCATTTTGACAACCTCTGGAACACCCCGACCAATCAGATTGTCAACTTTGAATGCTAGATGATGGCCTGTTGAGATGCAATATGTCTTTTGCAAGCACGACCTGGGAGCAGCCGACAAAGTGTAAATCTATTTGATGCGAATGAGCCATAAGGAACACTGGAAGAGCGAATGATGCAGCAAAGACTGTTAATTGCAAATACACAGTAAATAAGGATGCCGGTGGAGGGTTCAGCTCCTATGGAAATTTAGGGGTTTTTTTTAATTGGAGGCTGGAGAGGGCCTAAAGTTCAGAGCACCAGCCACCGAGACATTTTGGCGAGAGTGGACAATTCAACTTCTGCAGGGCATGCTGCAATTTCTGGGGAGAGTGACCAAAGCGTGCCACATCATTTAAAGTGCACATTACACGCACTTCTGAACAAGGGCCTCCCCCCACACCGTGCAGGCTATTTGCCCATGCTTTCACTACGCTGGTCAGTGCGGGTTGGTGAAGGTGGGGAACGTAGACGAGGGGTAGCGTCCAAGTGCAGACTGTAAAGTAAACTTAATATATTGACATTGTTCGCAAGAGTAATAAGGCCTCGTGGTTTTTGTGTGCCAACATTATGGTCCCAATATATTAAAATTGCCCGTAATTAGTTACACAAAAAACATTCACCACTATCCATAACCAAGGCCTTCCTTTACTTCATTACTTTATTGGGTAAAGCGTACAACAATGCTTTCTACTGGCATCAATTTGTAAAAAAAAAAAAAAACAGGGCTTTTGTGTGAGACTTGTGCTATACAAATGGCACGAACATCAAAATGTACTCAATTATTATCGCAATTCAATTATTACTGCCAATCTCAACGGCCTCACCCGGCCGAACAAGGCACGTTGATCTGTACCAAATGGCGGGCGTTCTCTGCACTGCCGTGGCAGTCGGCACAGTGAGCGCGGCGGCGGCGGCGGCGGCGGCGGCGGCAGCGCCCAGCGACGCGCCAAGCCTTCCGCCGTCGTCCTGCTCGCCCATCAACGACGTGTCGTCCATGTCGACGGACCAGACGCTCGCCTCCGACACGGACAGCAGCCTGGAGACGTCCGCAGGGCCCCTCGGCTGCTGCAGGTGACTAGCCGACTGCCTGCGCCACCCTTGCCACCCGTGCCCTTAGCAGTGCACGCGCTGTGCAGTGGGTGCCACCAAACCAAAATCCCGCCCCCCCCCCCCCCATTCCCCCGCAAAGGCCAGTCACGATGCGACGGCGCTCAGGGTAGCCTGCTTAGAAATCACTGGAAGCGCCGACACGATAGTTACGCCTTAAAGTCAACGTCGATAGCAAACTAGGGTCATCTCGTTTGCATGACGTTTACACGGTGGCGTAGGCCACTGCATGCTGTAGGTAGTTGTGACTGATCTAAATATCGCTCGAGATTTGCCAAGTTTCCGAGTGCCCCCCCCCCCCCCCCCCTCATGAAGGCTTGCCCCAGGCTAAAGACGTAGCTGTGTGCTGAAGCTGGATGGGACAGAGGAATATTGTCGGGTCCAAACTGCTGCAAGGCAACACTCGTCATAAACAGTGATTTGGATATGTAAAAAGAATGGCGTGCTTAAATTTTTCGCCTTCACTCGGGTTAAAAAAAATTTGCACAAAATCGGGCAGGTGTTTTTTTCCGAAATAGATATTATTGCTTCCAGTGATTTCAATTGGCCCTCGCCGTAATGCACAAACACATTAAATACGAACTGCTTTAATTAGTTTCCTTTTGGTTACCTGGTCACTTAAAAGCCCTTTGCATCAGGCTTTCTGCTCATTTAGCTTCTATCCATGCAAGCTGGGCAACTCCTATTTATTTGTGTTCAAATATGTTTGGCCTGAAATGTGCCAAAAATAAGTAATTTTAGACGCACAAAAAATCCCACAAAGTGATCTCATTTATATCGATATTTAAAGCGCAACAGCGCTTGCTATTTGCAGATGGTGGCTTGGTTTAATTAAGTCTGGGCTGGCTAGGAACGTTCACTATAAAATAAGTTTAGTTAATTCTCTTAACTAAATCAAGTGGTGGTGGCTGTGAGCGATACGAATGGTGCTCAAGCCTCCAGGATTTACAATGATGCATTTATGAATGGCCTTTTTTGTAATTCGATGGGCTAGGCATTTTTGACGGTGTTGCTATTTAATCCGTGCGTTTTCATTACGCGACGTTGCCGGCAGTGACGTACGGCCGCTGCATGATGCTCGTTTGCGATGGGTTTTTTTTAAACCACGCTGTCGACGTTACCAGGGCTGCATGCGACTATATACCAATGAGACGCGCGCTGTTACGGCAGAGCGGCAAACTGTGCGAAACCTCAAGATGCTGTCGTTTGTCCTTTTTGTGTGTGTGTGTGTGCGCGCGCACGTCTGTCTTTATTTGTCTCTTTGTTTTTAGCGATGATTAAGGGTTCGGTGAGCAAGTTAATTTATGAGCGCTGGTCAGGTTGCGATGTATTTATTTATCTATTGCTTACTTTGTTTTGTACTCGACGAAAAGTGCATTTGACGATGGCATTCAAGTGTTAGTTGAATGTGGGGGGACGGGTTTGTCGGTGGGTGGATGGATTTGGCATGTGCGAAGATGGTTGAGGCGAAAGTGAATCGGCAAAGCGTGGGGAGTTTGGTTAAGTGGAAACAAGGCTTGGTAGGTGAAAATACTTCGGGATATCGGAGTGGCGTACGAAAGAGACCAATTATATTTTGAGATTTGAGAATACTTTAAGGTGAATATTAATAGATTCAAAAAGTAATTACTTTCAGCAGAGCTGACTATCAAGTGATTTTATTTTAAGATGTAAACTGCATTAGGGTTATATACTTCAAATGTAAAAAAAAAACTAACACATTGATACCACATTATGGCTCACAGTATACAACAGCCTATAAAGTAGCACCCAGAATGCTCATGCATGTTTAAATTATATTGTTACTACTGTTGTCATGTAATAAACTAAAGCTTAATCAAAAAACATTAAATCATGTTTTCTTTTTTAAAAGCCATTGTCTTTAAATGTTACGTTGAAGTACTTTGTTATAGTTTACAAAGCTTGTATTCATTTATTGCCTTTAAATAACCCCTTTATGCTGCGTTTATTAATCACTCTCACATCAGCACCTGGCTCAATAGAAACCTGTGTTGGCACCATTTCAATTCAGAAATGATTTGAGTAATTTGGCAAAAAATATATATAATCTAAAATATAATACACTACACAAAAGCAAACAACATCTGTAACTTGGCGAAATAAAATGGCGTTTTTTTAGCGGAACGAATGTCGTCATCAAGTAAATATTGTATTTGGCATTCGAATATATATTTTAACTTCCCAAATGAGAAAAAAAAAATCCCATTACCGCACTCTTCAATTTCTGCTACACCGTTTCTATTGACCGTGGCCCACTTGTCTCGTGCACCGCAAACAAATGCGTTCATTGTGCTGGCGCTTGAGTCGCGGCAGTGCATGCGGATTGGCGGCGGCTTTTGCAACCGAGCCGCGTCGTCGACGTCTAACCGCCCCGGCGTGCCGCACCGTTTTTCACCTCGCTCTCCTCTGCTTGTGTTGTAGGTGTTCCATTACCAATGGGAAGTGAGAGGGGCAGTGGGAAGATGTTGCGTACTGTGTTGCCGTGACTCGCCGGCCCGTTGTGAGCAGGTCGGCATGTCTCGGTTTGAAACCGCCGCACCTGTGCACACTCTTGCTGCTCTTCCGTCCTGTCACGGCCGGCCACTTTGCAAGGACACCGTTGCGCCACAACAAAAACCCGCAGCTGCCCAAGTAGAATGCGCAGGATTCGCCTGCGTCGTTCAACCAGAACGAACTTTTTGTTTTTACCTTTCAATTTTTGCTTTATATATTCGCCTGTATTATACGTTGTAAATCAAATTTGGATTCTGCCTAGGATTACAGTTGATCGTGTATTGTGGCCTCATTGAATGCATTGGTTTATATTTTACCGCCCATTTAACTGGCCAACAATCAAAAATGTTGTGGCCTCGCGTAGCAGACATGTACTCCACTTGTCTGGTTTAAAAATGTATAATTTAAATCTACATTTTGGTACAACCGTAGTTTGCAGAGGGATGGGGAAAAAAACATTTTTTAAAATACATGTTATACTTCCAATATTAAAAACGGCGTTAAATGCAACACATATGCCAATGATTTACTGCATGTAAATTGTCCAATGTAACATTGCGATGCTTAACAATTATTTCGCCGTACAACTTTGCAGAGTGCTTTGAGTGTTGCGTTTTTTTATTACGAGCAAATTAGCGCGAAATAAGCTGCATGAACGCCCTATTACAAAAATATTAGAATAATTAGCTACTACATATTCTTAAACTGTAGTGACACAACAGGTCAGTTGTGTTCAGACAGAACACTTTACATTCTCATGGGCCTTGGCCATATAAACACAATCCTTTGACATACATGCTCTGTAAGACAGTAACTGGCTTTTTGGAATTTTCTGTTAAGACAAATGTATACCAGTTATCTCGATAAACATTGAGGGTGTTATTATTCCAAGACGCCTTGGGAGAGTGGAAGTCACTGATTTTGCCACGGCAGTACATTTTTTTACAAATCGTTTTTGAGAGTTAACATTTCAATGAGCAATGGCCCGGGACCATCGGGTACTGTAATACTTAACTCGTAGTCTATATTTCTCATTGCTATACAAGTCCAGATGTTTGGTCCAATCCCATAATGAAAAAACACAGAAACGCATCTTATTCATGCCATCTAATATTTACCTGGGAAGGCCTCGCTGAGCCTCAAGACTCTTTGCCGAACCGTTCCTTGCATTGCGATTTCTTTGGGCAGTTCCAATAATTAGCGTTTGGCTAAACCCACCGCCCATGAGACGGATGCCACTTGGGCATTAACATCTCCGGGACACATCGAGCAATCCCCCGGCGGTCACCTGTCCTCGTGATAAGCAAGTGTTGGCCTGCTTAGCTTTCCATGGTCTGATGGAATTGGGTGCATTTAGGGTGAATAACTCGCATTTTTATTTCTTCTAACAAAATCAGGCTTTTTTATAGCCTTTATTACAAATGAGGCATTATAAATCTATTCCTGTAAAAGCCTTTACATAAAATGTACTTCAGTGCACACTACCTTTTTCACGTCAATCATTGGTAGCAGTAAATATTGTGCTTCCATTTTACTGTTTTGTATATTTTTTCAACATTATTTATTGTCTGGGTTATCATTTGCCGCGTATTCCTTAGACATTGTCTTGACAAACGTTGGTTCATTGCTGCTGCTTTGTTTGACAGTTGCATTACATTTTTGTTCAAGTTGTCTTCATTCTGGCAAAGGGTTTATCTTGGTATAATTCACATGCACCGATTTGGCGCTTTGCTCTGTGTTTTTGGAAATAGCAAATAGGAGAATATATGTGGCTGGATGAGAATCTACAAAAATGGAGTTAATATCCTCGCAACTAAATTATTCTACCATCGTGTAGCAAAGCACTTTGCATTATCACCTTTAAAAAAAAGCTTGTCTGTACCAAAAGAATGATTTCACATTTAAGAATCCACTATTCCACACAGCTGTGGCTTCCAAACCCATTTTTTTAGATCACAATCTGTAATCCAGCCCCCATATACTAACTTCTGCTGCTATATTTGGCTGTGATGTAACACAAAATAGAAGTTTGTAACTAATCATGCATTAACTGATAGTAAATGTACTGTACAACTCAGTGCTGTCTCAGACAAGAGAATGCTAAATAAAAAAAATACTAAAAAAACAAATGCTTTATAACCTTGCATGTTTATTTGCTTCAATTAAATTTATTACAGCCAGCTTGGAACGATATAAAAGTAACAGTCGTACCGAATGCTACACAGTCTACATTCATGATAAATACATTTTGGTAAAGGAAATACTGTTCATGGATAACATGGCAGTGTGAATAGTTGACGAATTATGCAGTTAAGTAAACGGTTTGCCGACAAAGGCGATACCTTGTGACTAAACGTTTAGATGCAAGCAGGACACACTTCATTATCGCACAGATCCAGCCACCGTTGTTAACTTACAGAGACGCAACCCACACCCTTGTCCGTACACGTTCCCATTGACGCATTGTCAAAACTGGCGATATTGACATACCTGTCAACCCCTTATCAGTGCCTTTTATTATAGACCGATTCAGGCCTTATTGGTCACCCCGTGCTCCTATAAATCTCAATATTCATCCTACAAAGTCCCGTTACAAGGGAGAAACAAACAGAAAAAAGAAATGTTTGCCCGTATCTAAACGGCTGTACGTCGTATGGACCTGAACTAAATTTCCCTGTACAGGAATTGGGGTAAACCGTATGGGGTTGACAGGTATGTATTTACGACTTGCATACGAAATAACCTCTGACGAACACTGAAACTTAAACGTGTGATCGACTTTCCACTCGTGGAAATTAACCGTACGTTTGTAACAAATTTAATTTACAAGCACAGACACAATCATAAGTACATTAGTTGGAAATAAAAGAAAATATTGTATTGCGTACAACGCAGCTAAAATGACGTACTTTGGAGAAATCTTAAAGCACTTTATTACAGTATCGCATTGCAGCGGTCTTTGAACTGAAGACGTAGACACATACCATGTGCAATGGAGCGATAAATACGAAAGGCAACGCAAGTGGATTTTTAAAGCTTATAAATTACAATGCATTGTTTTTAACACCAAGCTCTGAGGGTGCGGTGTCGGACCTGCACAAACGAAGTCGCCCGCTACCATCGGACGAGATTGTGCACTGTGTAATCAAATTCATTTTCAACACCAACGTACCTGAAAATTTATTTTTAGGCTTCAAGATGTCCGTGACTCGGAACAAAATATTGGCCAGCGCATGAAAAGGAAAAGGTTACACCACGAGACGTGCATTCTTAAGTAAAATGGAACCCTTAATGTCCGTAAGGCTACACGAAATATGCATCTTGACTTTGCACACATTATCGTCGCGTCAATCTATGCAGACGGAGATGGTTTACTGTCTCCGTGCTCGGCGACTCGGGTGGTCACCAAATAAGATCGTTCAATGGCCTCACGAGGACTCGATCTCATTGTGGACGCGGTTTTCGTCTCGAGGAAGTTTACGATTTATGATTTTGAGCAGAATCGTCAGTAGAGGTAAACATACACTCGCTTGCAAAGCTTTTCATGGTTCTGCTTTGCACAGCTTACATAATTCCTTGTTCACCTCCTGGAGTTCCGGCCTTCATTCTTAATTTACAACAAAAGTTAGAGGAAAAAAAACTACGTACTGTACTTTTCCTCATTTGATTATTAATTGTATTAGGTCTCTGTAAAATAAAAGACAAGTAAATTGCCGTGCCAAATAATGTTGCTAGCGTCCCACCTCTATCTGTATTCTGGGGAGACCGAAATTAGAATCACTATCACTCTGGTCAGACACTCGTAGTTCGATATATTAATAGTTTGTATTTCATATACATACTAGTAAAATACAATACATAATTAAACGTATTTGACCTCGTTATAAAACATATAGGGGTCCCACATCCTAGATTTGGTAGTTTCTTAAATCAAGGGGTCAATGGTTTATATAGACGCCGTATAAATGTAATTTTAAAAAGTTAGTTTGCCATATTCCTAGAGGAGCTTATGGAAATATATTTACTGGATCGGTGGTGGAAATTACACTATCCTGTGTCGGGGGCCAGTTCATTCATAAAACAATGTTGCTTTGTCACTGAATACAATTCATCAGGCACTGCCCTTTTTCCTGGACCCTGGAAGGAATGATCTGCTGGGTCATCTCTTGACTGGAATCTGAAGTTGGGTATCTTCTGATCCGGAGCCTGTTGCTCTATCGAGCTACGCTGGGCTGGTCCCGTGCAATTTGTATGCAAGCACAGACGTGTTTATGATATATCTATGTGTCTGCATGCATACCTGTAAATACTAGGCATGTAACGATGCATGGATTCACCGATTACAATTATGGTTTTGGTACATGCATTGAATCGTGGTGTCCTAAGAGTCAATATTCAATTTGTTGTATGCAATTGGTTCTCGGCGCTATATTCACAACAATGTTATAACATCCATTCTTGAATCGAATCGAGGGTAGGCGAGTCATTACATGCCTAATAAATACGTGAACACACATGAAATCTGACTTGCGACGCCCTGATCGTCGCTTCAACCGCAATACCGCCCTCCGGTGGAGGGCAAAAACCTTTTAAAATAAACTCCTCATCACATCAAATACTTCGCACGTTCCAGTTAGGTTATCAGCATTTACAGGGAACAACAACAATAATAAAACGACAACGTGTGTGTGGGGGGGGGGCGGGAAAGGTGCAACGAGCAAAACTTTTTCTGTTATCACAATAAAACAACCACGCGCAAGACGCAATTCCCGTGGTGGGGGTGCGGTCATTGCTGCGGCTGCAAGCTTCCAAACGTAGTGAAGAAGCCCTCCATCTCGCGCTGCAGCGCCGCGTTGCGCTGCTCGGCGTCCGCCTGGGCCCTCTCGGCGTTCCTCATGCGGATCTCCAGCATGGTCGTCTTCTTCCTCTCCTGCTCCAGCTCGTCGCTCAGCGCCGTCACCCGGCCCTGCAGCTCCTGCTTGCACGTCTCCAGGCTGGCGAGGGTTGTGGGAGGCGTGGAGGTGGCAGAAAAAGATTAAATGGAACGTTCCTCCTCAATCAAAGCCAGCTCCCGGTTTTATTCGTTCCGGCAAAAGTGTTGCCTGCCTGCCTGCCCGCCCGCTGCCCTGAATGTATCTTAAGTGCACGAGCAGATCGCCATGCATGCGTCAGATCTCGTTATAAGATCTCGGAAGCGGAGCAGGCTTGAGCCTGCTCAACGTTTTGTATGGGAGTACTTCGTGGGAATTCCAAGTGTCGGAGGCCTATCAAGGCAGTGGATTCTTGGCTCTAACTGTGCATTGCTTTGAGTTGTTAGCAGCGCCTCGTGTGTGGGTATCTCTGGGTGCTCCGGTTTCCACCCACGTGCCACAGTCACGAACTGAATGAGCCAAACATCCGATGTAGCTGGACCCTCCTTAAAACATATTATTGAGACTTGGTGTGACTTTCCTAAGTAAATAAAGGGCATTCATATCTTTAGTATATGAATAGATTACCCAGGAAAGTCTTAAGGTTCATGAGCATTTGGTCATCCTTTTAATTGAGTGTGGGAGGAAGCCAGAGTACGGAAGAAAAAAACCCCACACTCATATGGGAGTAAGGCACTCGAGCGCTTCACAGATGGCAGACATCTTAATTGTTGTGCTGCCTCAAACACCACATTTCCCTGGAATTGCTCTTCTCGTTAAGGCACCATTCGCATGAATACACCAACCATGCCTTGCGCAGTTTTCCAAAGCTTACCATCTTAGAGGCATGTGCAAATGCTGTACTGTTTAGGGAGCGTGATGTATATTATAATGGATGTGTACAGTATGTAGATAAATGACACCAACAATAAAAAGCACCAGTAGACTAAAATGGAAATATAAATAACTGAGGTATTTAAATGAGGTCAATCATGAACGTTTAGATTTTGCCATCACATTCCAAACGATTCCTTTTAGATGCGTGCAATCGTTACCACGGCCGCTTTGACAACTGCAGCGCGATTCGGAAGACGAGTCCAACACATCAAGAGCAAAGACGAAATCTCAGCCTGCAGCGCGCGTTGGACAATGCCGCTTTTGTAAGCTCACAAGGAGCCGCGAGGCAGACGGGAGAGCATTTAGACGCTCTCGCGTAACCACACTCACCTCCGTATCTTGCCCTCGTAATCGAGCTTCTGCTTGGACAACTCTATCTGCATCGTCGCCATCACGTTGCTCAGCACTTGGGTGTTGATCGAACTGGCCGAGTCCGTTGGCGAGAGCATCGGATCCCAGTCGCTGCCGCTGGACTTCAGCCGGTCCCTCCGCGCTGCCGCGCTTTGACCCCTCGCGTCGTCCAGCGTACCGCCCTGTCCTTGCCAAAACCCGGCGGCGGTGGCGTCGCTCGTGCCAGGTGGCTCGTCGCCACAGGACGACGCGTGGTTGCGCGCACGTGGGGGCTTTGAGACGGAGCTGCACCACATGGCCCCCTCGCATGCGCCCGGCGATCCGTCCGCGTTGCCTGGAGGCGCCACGTTGTCATAGGTCGACTGGCGGTTGGCGGCCATGCCGGTGCCGGGACTGTCCCTGTTTGGTCTCCGCTGGACGGGGGAGTGAGATTCGTCTCTGGGGTCGTCGGCCGAGCCGGCCCACCCGCTCGGCGTCCTGTCGTCACGGCCCTGCTGGTTCGCTCTCTCGTCGCCGTTGGCGATGACCGCGTTTTGCGACGGCCTCATCTGCTTCCCCACCGAAATCCTCATCGACGAGTACTTCCTGGCCTTGAACGGTTTGTCCCTGAACAGCTCGGAGGCGATGCCGCTCTGAGCCAAACTCTGCAACACGTCCTGTGATAATGACCCGCTTTGGAAGCCCAGTCCGTTCTTTTCGTAGCAACCCGGCTGCTCCGCGCAGAGGCTCAGGGGCGATGACAAAGCGCCCCCGTCGGTCTGGGCAGGGGCACTCGACTCGTCCCACGACACTCCGCTCTCCCTCCGCCGGAAGCCGGTCCCATTTGTTCGGCTCAAAGACGACTTGGTGGACGCCTCCGGGCCGCGCGCGAAGAGCACGGCATGCTGCTCGATCAAGGTGGACATCAGGTGCTGCACCGTCGTCGCTCCTGCAAATCGGAATACGTGTTTAGACCGGAGGAATCCGATGAGCTATGAAGCTCTTTCACAGATGTCTAGTAGTGATCGATTCAAGTGCAGATGAGGCCGCGATGTCAACCGTCGCCGATCATCCATCGTCGTGGATCGACCCCGCAGCTAAAACGCATCGGTAAAAGCCGCCCGCACCTTCCATGATGGTCGCTGGGTCCTCCACTTTAGGCCTCAGGATGTTTGGTCCGAAGACGGTGGCCAGATTCTGTATACTCATCTTGTTGATGCTGGCGTGCGACTGCACCTCGTACAGGAAGCTGGTGGCAAAGATGTCATGTGTTGGTACGCTGGTTAGAACACCAGCCTGTCTTCTTGAACTGTGGTGTATTAGCGAGCACTGTTTTGAGCTAAAAGGGATTTAACTTTTTTTTTTACAAAGAGAACTCCAATGCATTTCGATCACCCGTAGTGTCGTTCAAGGACAATTTTGAAATGTACGAATTAGAGGTGCTGCAAACCGAACTCTGTCCATCATAACACGGCATCTTTAATATTCACAAAAGTTATTCCCTCAGAAGCTGTGGCAACATGAACAAATGCAAAATGACTGATGAAAGCCAAAGAACTTGAGAAAAACGGCTCCTCAAAAAGAACCATTTGGTTAGTGTGGTGTTAGTGGTGCTTGCCACTGGCCCTGTTTGTACCGAGTCATTACTTAAATTACTACAAAAATAGATAAATATCAACCATTCTCTATCCACTAATGGATGAAGGCCCCCCCCCCATTTAATATCGGTAAATTGGGGTTTTTGGCCATCCTTTTTAACTTATTTTTTATTATTATACCTCAATTGCCACTCGGTAATTTCTCCAAAAGAGGCCCTTAACATCTCCACATCTCTCTGGCCACAGAAGTAATCCACCTCAATGGGCTGCCTTGTTAAATTAATGACGGCGAATTACATTTCAGTAAAAAAGAGACGTACCTGCAAATGTACTTGAGGAGGTTGAAGTTTGCGAGTGGGAGACTGTTCACAAGTTGAGTCAGTTCCTTTACTCCCTGCCACCAGACAGGAACACACCACACACACGCAAGACTTTTAAAAAGCACATAATCAATTAATGAGACTATTTAATATCGAAATACGTTAACATGTATTAAAATGCTATAAATAAATACATATCGGTGGGCGGGTGGCTAAGAGGTCAAAGCAATGAGCTGACAGCGCTGAGCTTCTGCGTTCTAATCCGTGAAACTGGCCGTGATTAAGCCAGGGCCCTGGAGTGCTGTGAGTTGATGGTCTCAGCCCACTCTCCAACGTTTCACTGCCACGTGATGAATAGTTCTACACAGCACGGGTGTGTAGAAAATTCTGCCCCTCCCTAGGGTGGATTCTAGTAGGTAACTTGCAGGAAACTAATTAGTAGTTCTGTGATGTCTTCTTCCATGAGCTATTCTGTAGTACCTAGTCCCCGGGGGTTATTGACTGATCTGTGAGTGTTCTAAATGGGTTCTTTGTCTAATGACACAGTACCCATAGCATAATTGGAATTAGTTCATTCAGAGCTCAGCCTTTATCACTTAAGACATTTTCAAAACGCTTCCCGTTCCATAATTCGAATACGTTTCCTTTTCAGCTCTGCACCGACACCATTAATTAACAGTTACATTTTAATAAGTACACAATCGGGGAAACGCATTTACCGTATTGTGACAGCTCCTCTGCAATAATAATTATGAGCAGGAAAGAGGTGTTTTGTTTAGAGAAAATAAAACTGTTGACAAAGTAATTACGCTCGATGTCATCGTGTAACAATGTGTTTGCCAAAGCTCAAGCGTGAAAGAGATTATCTATTTTTATCGGCGGAAAAATTAATCGTATTTTTACAGATACTCTCAGCAGAATTCCCAGTGCAAACATGCATTCTTGATGTGTGTGTGTGTGTATGCAATCAAACGATGATAGGCGGAAACTCTTCGGTTTTCATCAACAGCAGATTTTGATCGTCAGTTACAATTCCCACTCGTTATCAATATGGAGGCTTGTCATAAAACATAATAATGTCCTTTATTCGTCAAAAAAAAGCCTCACTGCTTTAAGCTATTTCGGTCAATACCTTTGAAGTCGTCGTCTGCACGTGGCATGAAACCAGAATAACCCAAGGGAATAACAAGCAAAGCTCTGCACAGACGGATTTAAGAATCCATTGCCGTAATGGCCACTTGGCAGCCCAAGCCTCTAAACAACCTGGTATTCAAACTTGATTTGAACCTGGTATTCCCTATCAGACCTCACATTCAATATCGCTTCGTTGTTGCAACGTTCTCACCCGCCCCTTACTGGAACATATGTGGGGGAAAAAAGAGCGCCAGAGCTCATCGGATCCTGCCGGTCCAAAAGATTCCGATTCAATAACTCGAGGTGCTTCAACCCTGCCCAGTGGTCCGACATCTGACGAGATGCGATCGTAGGCGGCGTGTCACCTTCCCCTTCTTCCGTACTGCCGAAGCCCGATGCGGCGCAACGACTACAATTTCACAACTCCGGTGGGCGGGATGGGGGGACGGACCAGCAACATCGGCGTCATTCGCTCGCGATGCGTTGCCCGTAAGAGCAAACGACCGCCAGGGGGAGGAATCGCCCCACGTCGAGACTTTAGAGAGCGATCGGCGGCCGAAATCCGGAGGAATCTTTCCCCCCCTTTCTGGATGCCGCCACCTTTGCTCATGGCAGCCGAAGAGAACGACGTCGCAAAATAAAAAAAATAAAAACACCTCGCCGAGGACGGAAGTGTGTGGAAGCGCCGGGCCTCATGATGACCTCTCTCGCTCGGAAACTGTGGCTCGCGCTGAGCCGCGCGTCAAGCGACGCGGTCGAGACGCGCGGTCGAGACGCGCGTTCAAGAGGCGCGTTCCACCGTCCCACAAACGGGAAGGGTCGATTTAAAGCTTTCGTGACCGCAAGGATCCATCTTCTTTGGTTCTTTCGGTAAAGTCACGTAGAATGAGAATAAAATAATAAACTGATAAAATAAAATAACGCAATAAAATTCTCACGACGTTTCGGCCACAACACCTGATGAAGGCCGCTTGTGTTGTGGCCGTAACGTCGTGAGAATTTTATTGTGTTATTTTATTTTATCAATTTATTATTTTATTCTCATTCTACGTGACTTTACCGAAAGAACCAAAGAAAACGGGAAGGGGTCACAGAATCGCCGAACTCCTGCTGTGGTGGTGGTGGTGGTGAAACTCCAAACCATCGAAAAACACATCCTGGCTGTGTTGCTGCCATCCACACTCCTTGGATTGGTTTAAACAACTTCGCGTTGAACCGATAACGGGTTTCAAAATGATTGCTTTTCCACCCTGCCGTACGAAAGAGGAAAACGGCATGCGGAATGTAGTGCGCTAACCACTGCGCCACCGCTCCCCATCACAAACGTGACTGATTCTCTGGAGCACCCCCGATTATCATCGCTCTTCACTCGTGGAGCCAAACACAAACTCCTCTCGCGGGTCAATATTTAACCACGGTCTGTTTAAACATGGCATTTAGTGCTTGGGAGTGATAACACCGATTAAACATTCTGCGAGCGGGAATGCCCACTTTTTACGATTTCTCGTTTTTACGGATTCTTCATTGATATATTACTGCCGATGACTGTGTTGTTCAGGATACTAGGTGGCAAGTTAAAATGGGGAACTCGCCTTAGAATGATGGAGAAAATAAGCAACAAAATGCAGGCAATGAAAACGTATCTCTGATGAGGTTGCTGAAAACTTAGACATTTTGTCTTTTTCGCCAACTTCAACCCCGGTTGTTGTATCGGCATCACGGCACAGTGTCCAATCGTAACTCTCGCAGAGCAATGAGAATGGCCCACGGAATGTGACAACACAGAACTGCTTCTGTGATCGCTTCACGTGACCTCCTTTGTCGCCACGGGAACATGAAATCCACTTTCCCAGCCATCCTGCTCCAGAGAAATGTTTGTCATGTAGCAGTCAAACCAATTGTGTTTTTTTTACTCTTTGCTTCTTTCGGTAAAGTCACGTAGGGAAATAATTAAATGAAAACATTTTTGTTTTAATAAAAAGATATAAATAATTATTGATGTATTTCCCTACGTGACTCTACCAAAAAAAAACAGAGTAGGTAGAACTAAATTTGAGCGAGAGACAAAACACAGACACGGAGACACACAGACGGACACACAAGCAGAGAGAGACAACACAGAGACACACAGTGTGTCTATGTTGTGTCTCTCTCTGTGTGTCTCTGTGTTGTCTCTCTCTGCTTGTGTGTCTGTGTGTCTCCGTGTCTGTGTTTTGTCTCTCTCAAATTTAGTTCCACCTGATGACGGTTGCTTGTGTTGCAATCGAAACGTCGTACTCTAGTATTTAATTTATTTTCTTTCTACGTGACTTTACTGAAAGAACCAAAGAGAAATTCCTGCAGTCACGAAAGCTTCAAATCAAGTTTCAATTATTTTTTTTATTCTGAGAGCTGAAATGTTGCCAAATGAATTGGAAACCAAAATCGATTTTGACTTTGTATACAATAATTGATTACCACATTGAGGACTCCAACTTGCTAACCTTGAGAGCCAAGTTTAACTATGGGTGGCTATCACTATAAAAACTAAATTTCAGGATCTCATCAATGTTGTTATAAATTAATATTGATTCCTCAGAATATTTGTTTCCACAAGAACCAACATGCAACCACATTGGGTCAGGGACCACACTGGGTCAGGACAAAGTTGGAACCAAAAAAGATAGTGCGAAAAAATTAATACTATACTAAAACGAAAATCGAGCCACTGCTTCACAAAAAGGGCGAGAAAGTGGTCTTACATATCAGGTTTTAGTCTATTATATGTGGACACAGACTCGCATGCAAAGATTGCATCGCTATAAAAACCAAGCAGGAACCAATATTCGAAAGGAGAACCAACATTTCCAACTATTGCCGACTACCTAGTAGGGAACAAATATTCATTCATGGCACAACAAATATTCGGGGAGGGCAACATATATTCGCCAGTTTGACCGCTGTTTTTCTTAAAACTAATGTGCGTACTCTGGGACGGTCATAGCCCTCTCATATGATAACCAACCCCTTCCCCCCCCACCTTTCTGAGACCTCCCCTCGCGTGTTCATTTGAATAAAAGTTCAGCCGCACGTCGGAAATGAGAGTGAAGAAAGAGAATCTACGAGCAGGAGAAAAAAAATGTAGGACGTCGGTGCTCGCTTGTTTGCGCTCGACAGTGGTGCCACTAACCTCGCTCTGGTTCTTGGCCAGGAGAGAAGCACAAGACAGGAACTCGCTGTACAGGGAGAACGGCACCACGGGCTCGGGCAGTTCGCGCAGGTAGAGCTTGACAAGGGAGGCCACCGTGTGGACGTCCGTGTCCCTGCGGAGCCGCACGCCCGGTAAAAAAAATACAGCGCTCGCGACACGCTCGCGACACGCACACACACACACGTGACAACGCTTGCGGCACGCGCACGACACACACTCGCGCTCGGGAGACACAACACTCACAACACACGATCACGACACGCTCGCGACACGCACACCCACACACGTGACAACGCTTGCGGCACGCGCACGACACACACTCGCGCTCGGGAGACACAACGCTCGCGACACGCACGCACGCACGCACCGCGGGCACGTGGGCGCTCGGCTTGGCCCTGCGACGGGGAAAGGGGCCCTTCGGATTCGGAAACAGAAAAATAAACCCAAATTGATTGTTATTGACGTGTACTGTGGTCACGTGTGGGTTGTCTGATCACGTGGTGGGAAGGCCTTCGGCGAGCAGTGCATTGAGAAGGTCTCAACGTTATTTGCTGAACTGTGGGGAAATGCTGTGGGGAAGGCTTTGTAGCTGAAAGGGCCAACATTGTGTACGCGGAAATGCTTTTGTATTGAGGCAGAACTTTGCTCAGTGTCTCCACACATAAAAAAAAATGTGTTTTAGTCCACCGGACTATTCGCTTTCCAGAACCAATATCACCAAGCAGCATTTGTTTTAACCAAGCAAACTCTGGACCGGTTTTAATCTTCTGAGTCTCATCAGCAGAGCCAGCCTTGTGAAACAAATGCTGCCGGGTTTGGTTACAAGATGTCCTTAGCTCAACAACCATTATAAACTTCTCCCCTTCACCAGCCCGCAATGACCAGCATGGTGAAGTATGGTCAAACAACCCTGATGACTGGCATGGACAGTCCTTCATCTAGCAGTAAATTGACAAGGCCTGTGAATTATCATTACTATTTGCAACGAGTGCGACGTGGCTTTGACAGCTGACATCGCAATACTTTGGCCGGGTCACGATGGCTCATCCCAGCGGTGTCTTCATTGCCCATCCGCACGCCAGACGGTGGTGGTGGGGGGGGGTGCTTCCCTGCTCTCCCCTTTGGCCCATTTCATAGCACCCGGAGAGAAGCGCGGTCCACGGCCAAGTGAAAGTGCAATGGGAAAACGTTATTTTTTTATAAATGGGATTTTTATGCAATCGTCCGAAAACTGGGCGAAGAACGACTCCCAATATTCACAAGCAACCCCCTCCCGTTTAATCCCGAGTGGTAGACAAAAGCTTCAACCCAGAGAATGGGAGTGCTGATTCAGCACTCTTTAATGTGTGTCAAAGCCACCGACTCCCGCCACCCCCCCTCCAAATTACCCAGACACCTCTTGACGGCGCACAGCGCACGTGCGGCTCTCTCACGCCTCAACAGCAAAAAACTGCGTAAAACCTGAAATAGGCAGAAGGAAGTGCGTTGCTCCCCGCGACTGAACCCGTTCGTTTTGTATGTGGGTACGTACGTTGAACTTCTTTCGCGCCGTACGTAGCCGACCTTGCCAATCAGAGGTGCGGTTTTACTGCCAAGTCAGCTCCTAGCCAACGAGGCCCCCCCCCCCCCCACCGTCACAATTCTCGTTTTATTGTTTTTCCCCGCCATAGCCGTAGCTTGGGTTTTTTCTTTTGTCGTCCTCACGATTGCTTTCATTGCTTTTTGTGAGAACGAAACTCCGCCGCACTGCCCACCCTTTCTTCACACACGCCTTGCCCGAGGGCTAACTTTGCTCGGCAATGGCCGTCGCCACCCGATCGCTCGTCCGCACGCGTCTCCGCACGCGTCTCTGCGCGCATCCAACGCCTTGGGTACGCAGGTCGATACAAATATAGCGGCGTCTGTTTAAGTCCTATCCCTGGCAAGCAAAAAAAAAAGAAACACCTCGATGTTTTGGCCGGCTGGCATTTGCAAAAAATAAAAAAATAAAACTAAAAGGGGCCATATCACTGCAGCACTCGGCATACAAATGGGCACTAAAAAAAGCAGACAATGCACACAGCTTTACAATGCCTATAAAATAATACGGTGCCGTTGATTGCTTTTCAGGACAAAACTAAAGACCTTGAAGAACGGACGTGGTCTTGCATGCCTCTCAAATCCATCATCCTTTGAACCACTCACTCGCACATCACTCTTCTTCGCCGATCCGAGCAAAACCCGCGCCGTCTACTGCTTTCGAGCGCTTTAGCCACGCCGATAATAGATCTGTCAAACGTGTTGCATGTTATCACCAGTATCGTGGGGACTGAAGGGAGTTGGGTTCTGTCGAAATAAAAATACGTAATTATATATATATTAAAGAAAAATGCAGCGTGCTGCGGTCGAGCATCGGCCGGCGTCGCGACTCTCGATGGAGCGAGTGGCACGCGCCGAGCGCCGTTGCAGCTCACGGTCGAACGTTCCGCGTCGTCGTCGTCACCATCGGCGCTCTCGCGCAAGCTGACCAGCGCGCGCGATCTTTAAAGGCCGCGAATATCGTTCCCGCCGGCGATGAATTAAATACGATGGTGAAGATGTTGAAGAAGAAGAAGAAGGAGGAGGGGGAAAAAAAACGAAGCATTGCGAGGATACTGACGTTGAAACGAAAGATGGTGGCGAGAATGATGATGACGACGAAGACGATGACAATGATTACGATTTTACGACGTTATAAAAGAGTCGACAATTTCACTCCGATGTTTGTTATTGACAATGATTGTGATGATGATGATGATGATTATTATTATAGTACTACAGTGCGTCGTGTTATTTTTCAGAGATGTCTGTGGGTTATTTTTGGGTTGAAGTCAAGGTATGTTCCAGCGTACTCAAATAAAGTCTATTGTACATTTCCGCGCGCCTGCCCTCTGGCTTGTTTTAATTGTTTTTACTTGGCGAGCGCAAATTCCAGCAGGGATGTTCTCTGCAAGGGACAAGCCAAAAAAAAGGCGAATGACTGAAGTTATTTCCTGTGTTGCTACAAGGTCGTAAGCGTGCCAAGCCACACGAGGATTAGTCGGGAGCCCTGAACGCGTTCAGCAGCGTCCATAGCGAGCGGTGTACCTACCACACGGGTGCCGCTGGGATTAAACGAAAACATTTGCGTTTTCTTGGGTCTACTGGAGGTTCCTTTTATCACGGTTGCTGACCACCAAATCAAAAACAAATTACAAAGGCATTCGGCATCCTTGCCATTCCCAAAGTGCAAGGCTATCATGAAGGCACGATGACTATTTGCTATGTACTTCAATACGCTCATACGATCTGCCTTGTGCCCATTTATACTGCTGGGTGGATGGAGGCCGGGGTAGGGGGGGGAATTTAAGAAACGTTCCCATTTTTTAATCTGCCACGCCAGGTGGTCAAAATCTGGATTGTAAGTCCAGTGTGCTCTCCGTTAGGCCACGGCAGTAATTCTTATGCCTGTAACAGCCGTGAACTGAAGACTGCTGCTTGTAGCACATATGTTTTAACATGCAAGTATATACTGCAGCTTCTAGATTTGAAGTGTTCGTGACTGCAATGATCCGTACTCTTTGGTTCTTTCGGTAAAGTCACGTAGGTAAAAAATAAAGTTAATCAGATTACAACTTTTCGGAAGCAACACAAGCCTCCGTCATCGGCTGGGATAGTCACAGCAAGAAGTAATTTCGTCCACTACAGCAAATTACTTCTTGCTGTGACTATCCCACCTGATGACGGAGGCTTGTGTTGCTTCCTAAACGTCGTGATTTGACTAACTTTATTTTATGTTTTACCTACGTGACTTTACCGAAAGAACCAAAGAGTATATACTGCAGCTTGTTTATGAGAAGGAAATCAATCGCTCCACCCACCACTGCGGAGCCTGGGTCTGGCATCAATCCAGGCATGCGGTGTGCTACATCCTCACGCGGTGTGGTCAGACGACTTAAACCCAAGCGTGAGCGGCCAGGATCCCCCCGCTCAATTGCTGCTCCTAAACGCGTTGTCGGGGGAGCTGTGATGAGGCACTGGGAGTTAGGAACTCTGGACCCGAGGTAAGAACTTGGCAAAAAAATAAAAGGTCTCTCGACAGCTATGGGAGATTCAATGCATCTGCTGAGACCTTGAAGAATGTTAAGATCACGCAGTCTTTTGGGGTATTGTTTTTTTTATTCCTAGAGGATTTCTTTTGACGTAAACTTTTCCCAAAGAATATTTTTTTAAAGCAGTTTTGGGTTGGTTTTTTGCTCCTTGCTCTGTTGAGCATGTTGGTTTTACTACGGTCTCCGTGAAAAATAACGGGACTCCAAAGAGCGATGCCCAAATTAGTCACGCAGTGTCTGGGTTGAGTCTGGATATCGCTTGGATGGGTGACCACCACACCAAATCACGTGTCATAGACTTCCGCAGCGCTGCATTGTCAGTGGTCAGCAATGCAGCGAAATACGCCGTGATACTGCACTAAGCTCCCAAAATCTGTGCTCCCTGCCTTCGTCAACCCTCACTGTCCAGCGTGGAGAAGTTAGTGGAGCGCCGCGGTGGCGGGTTGGTGGAAGTGGACACGGGGCTTCATTTGGGGCACTCTGGGCGGCAAGGTGTTATCTCCCTCACCTGCTATGCAGCAGGAGGTCGTGGGTTCGACTCCAACCCTAACGCCTGCTGTTCATTCGGAGTTTGCGTGTCTCTCTCCTCGTGGTCGCGTGGATTTTTTCTCCGGGTCCTCTGGTCTTTCCCCTCCATGTTTAGAATCAACATCACTCGCTTAGAGTATTTGGCTGCTATAAATTTCCGCGTGATAAGCCACTTCGTTGAGCTATCATTTGTGGCCAGGTTGCTTCTGAAAAAAAAACCTATGTTATAGCTCAGCAGGTCTTAACTGGTAAAATAAAAAAATAGTTTTTTTGTTTTGGTCAGACAGCTCCTAAGACCTGCACGGGGCATGGGAATATCCTCAACGCAGCGGCGGGTTGACAAAAAATGTGTAAACACGAACCCGTCAAAGATAGGGCGTTCGCCGCAGTCGAAGGCCTCTTGCAGCTCACGCACCAGGTTCGTCTGGCCCGGCAGACGAAAGAGGCCCTCCTCGGCCAGGCCTTGGCAGCGGATGAAGTTGACGCACTGAGTGACGAGCAGCGGGGCTGGCGCCGTCACCCCGTCCGAACCCGTCTCGCTCCGCACTGTCTCCTCCAGCCGCTGGCCAAACACTCCTGTGGGCAAACGAGCAGGCGAGTGAGTGGGCGAACGAATACATGAGCGAGTGGGTGAGTGAGCGAGTGGGTGAGTGAGCGAGGTATTGAGTGTAGGGATGAGAAGGTAAAATGGTGAATGTGTGAGTGAGTGGATTAGCGAGTGTGTGAATGAGTTAGTTATTGAGTGGGTGCATGAGAAGGTGAGTTGTGAGTGGGCATGTGAGTGGATGAGCGAGTGCGTGAGTGAGTAAGCAGGTAAGTGGGTGAGCGAGAGGGTAAGTGGGTGAGTAGGTGAAAGGGTGAGTGAGTGAATGAGTCCATCAGCATGAGTGAGTGCACAGCTCCAAGACTTACAACACAGTTCACTTTGGATTATTACAGTACTGTATCTAAATCCAACCACATCTCAAGATGCTATACAGACGTGTGGCAGGTGGGCATCCTGGGAAAAGGAAATTTAATTAAGAAAGATATTGTAACAGTCGGTCAACGGCGGTGAAAAGAGTGGGGTCTTGAGCCTGGACTTGAACAGGGGGAGGGAGTCAATATCACACACGGCCGGGCGAAGAGAGTTCCAGACTATCGGGCAGCACAGGTGAAGGAGCAACCTCCCCCTCCGAGCCAAGGTTGACTGGAGGCTTTGATATGAATCCTCAGTTGCCCGAGCGGAGAATGCACGGAGGGGCGGGGAGTAAAATGAGAGGGGAAGAGGTAGGCGGACACCGGAGAGCCCGGTTTAATGACGGGTGGCTGAAACCCGGATTCTAACTAGGATCTCAACGGTGCCAGCTCAGTGCTCTGACCCCTGACCAACCCCGGGGTCACATCTCCCGTTAATCCATCTTAATTGATCCCTGAAACCGGGCGGCGTTCTCCGGCACGGGCAGCCCAGGGAGGCAGCCGCGTGGTCTCAGGGGTGGGCGGAGCCCACCGCCTGCAGCGTCTGGGGACAAGTGCCGCGGCAGAAAGCGCCACGGTCCCTTCGAGGAGGGCCTTAGCCGAGTCCCGTCCGCTCGCCTGCAGCCGTCACAAGGTCCAACCGGGCGTTTGTCGGGGGCAGATTCCACGACCACGTTGTGGCAGTCACGGCAAAATAAAGCAGTTATGGAGTAAATAAATAAACAAACGGGCAAATAACTCTATAAATAAATAGATTATGGTCGGCATGTAGATTAGATATAGTGTTAGTGAACATAAAACCCATTAATACTTTGACCAGACAACAATCTGTCCACTTGTTTTTCCCATTCCTGATGTTAACATTTTCGTGTAATTATTCCGCACGTAGAAATCGCAATAGGATTACAATTTTGCTTATAATGTGCAGATTGTATGAAATACAAATAAAATAAAAACATATACATTACACATGACCAGCCATACCACAAATAGATGACAAGTTAATTTAATGCAATGTTGGTGTATATTATGCATCCTGTGATAGTCCCAATAAAAACCCTCCACTCGCTCTCAATCCAATCGCGAGTCAATGTTTAGATCACACTTCACAGCGGCATTCTTCATCGCAAGGCCCACGGGCCCTCTGGTGGCCTTTAGTGCGGCACCCGACAATACACAAATGGTGAAAACACCCCCCATCATCGTCATCGTGCTGTTGTCAAACCCCCAATGGTTTCAAATGTGTGGCGGCCCTCAAACTGATGATGTCTTATCGGCGACAGTGCCCCCCCCCCAACCCCCTCTGAAAATCAGTGACGAACACTGCTTTCACAGTCTTCAAGCTCCTCCACACGACGACCGCCCCCTGCCCCATCTCTCCCCTCTCCCATTCACGGTTCCAATCATGTGCCATTGCAGATCATTTGTACTTATTTTTGTTTACGAGGCACATTGGTAAGTTGGCTTTTTTCAATAAAAAATGTTTTTGGAAAAATCACTCCATCCCATTGCCCTCGCTCGCATCTGTATCTCATCACTCTGATCTCGGCCCGCCGTCAATAATGTCCCTACATACATGCACGGTACATACTCTGCAGTGGTTTCCAGTTGTGTCCCTCTTCACAATAATGTCCTTTCATATCGTGAAATTCTCACAAGCGACGTTTGCTCTGCTCGTATTTATCTTTAGTCCCCTCTCTACAGCATTCTTTGTTAAATTCTTCAAATAATTTACCTTCCTCTAGTCCGTTTGCATGATAAAATTGGTCGGTATAATGACTCAATCATCGGTGCATCTGACATTGTTATTACTTTCCCCATGGATCTTCATGAAAACCTCAAAAGCCACACACAATACAGTACAACGCGAAGGCCAAATTATGGCGCTATTTCCTTCACACACAAAAAATACCAATAAATCAATGCCCCACACTATAATACACTTAAAGGTAATAGAACAAGTACGCTTTGACGTGGCACCAAGGGCTCATGAACCAGAATGAATCCCACTTTACATCCAGCTGTTAACACCGCAAATTCATGACATTAAGCACAACTGACGCTAAGATGACTGAAATCAGTGCTGTTCAATTACTGCGCCATTCATCCTATAACCTAAGGGAGATGCAACATCAAGCGAAATACATTCAACAGCGGTATTAGCCTGGCTGTGGTGGCTACGCATGCAGATGTCTGTAATCCAGCGCTGTGTGGAGGCAACGAGGATTGGTGGATGACCGCACACGTGTTGCGAAACTCCCTTCCTGTGTCCATCAAGGAGTCATAAACCTGGCTCACCAAGGAGAATGTGGACCCCACCTGTTCCATCTGTACGGGGATAGAGCGTTGCCCCCTCGCACGTGCAGGCTAACCGCCTCGCTGCCTTTTTCCCGATCGTCTGCGGGTTTTTCCTCACGCCTCCGAGTCGTTCTCTCTTTCTGGGAGTGTGCGGGAGCTTGACAAGTTGAAACTGTTAACTCGACCTTGGTCATTCGAAACGCCCCCCTCCCCCACGGGACCTGACGTTATCACGCGGAGATTTCTGAAACTACTCTACTGCTAACGGAACAAGGCAGCTGAGTCTAAATGTGAACACTGTACAGGATGGGAAGCCACGGTTATTCCCTTAATGGTATTTTCAGGCACCGTACAACTAGCATACAACTGTTCAAGCGAGATACCGTAGAAGGTGCAGATAATCGGGGCTACATTCGGCACATGGTAGTGGGATGGCACGGTGGCGAGATGTTAACTACCTCGCCTGATATACAGGACGTCGTGGGTTCAATCCCGACCCCAGCGCCTGTGTATTTGGAGTTTGCATGTCCTCTCTCCCCGTGGTCGCGTGGATTTTTCTCCGGGTCCACCGGTTTTTCCCTCCACATTTATAATCAACATGCGTTCGGAGTATTTGGCAGCAAAACATTTCCACGTGATAAGCCACTTCGCTGAGCTATCATTTGCGGCCAGGTCGCTTCTGAATAAGAGCTCGATGGCTCAGTGGGCCTTACCTGGTCAAATACAAAAATAGTTTGGATGTTACAGTGAGGGAAAAAAGTATTTGATCCCCTGCTGATTTTGTACGTTTGCCCACTGACAAAGAAATGATCAGTCTATAATTTTAATGGTAGGTTTATTCGAACAGTGAGAGACAGAATAAAAACAAAATCCAGAAAAACGCAGGTAAAAAAATGTTATAAATTGATTTGCATTTTAATGAGGGAAATAAGTATTTGACGCCCTCTCAATCAGAAAGATTTCTGGCTCCCAGGTGTCTTTTATACAGGTAACGAGCTGAGATTAGGAGCACACTCTTAAAGGGAGTGCTCCTAATCTCAGCTTGTTACCTGTATAAAAGACACCTGTCCAAAGAAGCAATCAATCAGATTCCAAACTCTCCACCATGGCCAAGACCAAAGAGCCCTCCAAGGATGTCAGGGACAAGATTGTAGACATACACAAGGCTGGAATGATTTGAAGCTTTCGTGACTGAAGGATCCATACTCACTCCAACGCTGTCCTCATGACAGCACGGTCCCTTCACCTGATGAAGGCCACTTGTGTTGTGGCCGAAACGTCGTGATTTTTGTTATTTTCTTTTTTACCTACGTGAATTTACCGAATAGAACCAAAGAGTAAGGCTGAAATGGGCTACAAGACCATTGCCAAGCAGTTTGGTGAGAAGGTGACAACAGTTGGTGCGATTATTCGCAAATGGAAGAAACACAAAAGAACTGTCAATCTCCCTCGGCCTGGGGCTCCATGCAAGATCTCACCTCGTGGAGTTGCAATGATCATGAGAACGGTGAGGATTCAGCCCAGAACTACACGGGAGGTTCTTGTCAATGATCTCAAGGCAGCTGGGACCATAGTCACCAAGAAAACAATTGGTAACACACTACGCCGTGAAGGACTGAAATCCTGCAGCGCCCGCAAGGTCCCCCTGCTCAAGAAAGCACATATAAATGCCCGTCTGAAGTTTGCCAATGAACATCTGAATGATTCAGAGGACAACTGGGTGAAAGTGTTGTGGTTAGATGAGACCAAAATGGAGCTCTTTGGCATCAACTCAACTCGTCGTGTTTTGAGGCGGAATGCTGCCTATGACCCCAAGAACACCATCCCCACCGTCAAACATGGAGATGGAAACATTATGCTTTGGGGGTGTTTTTCTGCTAAGGAGACAGGACAACTTCACCGCATCAAAGGGACGATGGACGGGGCCATGTACCGTCAAATCTTGGGTGAGAACCTCCTTCCCTCAGCCAGGGCATTGAAAATGGGTCGTGGATGGGTATTCAAGTATGACAATGACCCAAAACGCACGGCCAAGGCAACAAAGGAGTGGCTCAAGAAGAAGCACATTAAGGTCCTGGAGTGGCCTAGCCAGTCTCTAGACCTTAATCCTATAGAAAATCTGTGGAGGGAGCTGAAGGTTCGAGTTGCCAAACATCAGCCTTGAAACCTTAATGACTTGGAGAAGATCTGTAAAGAGGAGTGGGACAAAATCCCTCCTGAGATGTGTGCAAACCTGGTGGCCAACTACAAGAAACGTCTGACCTCTGTAATTGCCAACAAGGGTTTTGCCACCAAGTATTAAGTCATGTTTTGCAGAGGGG